GAAAGCCATGTAGAGAAGTAATTGTCGCCCCAAAAAACTGCAGTCGTGAGACAAGTATCAAGTCAACCACCAGTCTCAATTCGTCCATAAATTGCATGCCCAACGTGCTGTAAATTCAGGTGTGAAAACAGCAAGCCGCGCATATCTCCAAAATAATCCCACCGTCCCACGTCAATGCAAACTGGTCCCAAGTAGTCTCAGATAGTCTTATGTTACCAACCATTGCACTTGATGGTCCCGGTTACCAAAACCGCTCACTCCATATGTAAAAAAAAAAAAAAAAAAAAAAAAAAAAACGATCCTCTATGTCGAAATCACAAGTGTCGTGAATCCCAATGGTCACTACGTCGTCTGCTCATGTCCCAATTGGTTTTAATGGCCCACTCTCTGTGTCACATGGTACCCAAAAATAAAGAGTCTGACACGTGCGTCCTAACTGATTCACGAGTGTCACACAACACAATCCACGACACTCACCACCAAGCATGCCCGAAGGTTGTCGATCGCACCCTACCGCACTCTTAAAAAAATAAAAATAAATGTTGCACAGCGTAGTCGAACACAACCCTTGGAGCTAAGTTTCACACACGTACTATAGCGGGTACCACCACGACCCCTTGCTCAAAACTGCAAATACCGCATCATCAAACCAACGACACGTCCGCTAAAAAAAAATGTTTCCCGCCGTTAAATGAACGACATTCTCCCACCGAAAAAATGCTATAGCCGTCGTACATTAAAATGACAACACCTCCCTTCTAGAATTTAGTACCGCCAACGTGCCAAGATTTCGACAACACAACCCCGCTGCAAATAATGATCACCGCCGCACTAAATTTATGGCGGCATAACCCCTTTAAGAAGTAATGTCGATCTCCTAAACTTTTGGCAACATCGCCCCCGTCAATTGGTTGCATCGCTGCCGAAACGGACGCCACAGACGCGGACTTTGGCTATTCCTGCTCCTCATAGTTGTAGCCACCCAACTCCTCCTTCAACCTTTGCGAAGACTTTCATCTCTTCCAACCGCTCCAATTCCTGCCCTGTCCTAAGGCAGAACCTCCCTAGCCTTAGCTAAGGCTGACATGTTCCTCGTTCAATGACTCCTCCTTCAACCTTGCAGACCACTAGCAGCTCAACCATTAGCTTCTCCCTGAATGCTGCAGACCTCTAGCACTCCTTTCTGCCATCTCATCACTGCATGAAACTCTTTGAGGTCTAGTATCACACCTAAAGGCCCACCGTATACCCATTATGGGTATACGGTGGGCCTTTAGGTGTGATACTAGACCTCAAAGAGTTTCATGCAGTGATGGCTATATTGTTGTGACGTGGGGGCACCCAAGTCCATGGCTATATTGCTGTGACGTGGGGACACCCAAGTCCATGGCTATATTGCTGTGACGTGGGGGCACCCAAGTCCATTATGGGTATACGGTGGACCTTTAGGTGGGCCTTATAAGTTGGAACTGAGATGCTCGAACCCATAACTGAAATGACATGGGGGCACCCAAGTCCATGGCTATATTAAAATTTGTAGAACTCAAGCAAGGCACAGTAAAGCGGTGACTCGGATTGATCCAGCCTGGTTGGACTGCCTGGTTGCTGCCGACAACAAATTGCTCTGCAGCTGAAGTCGGAGAGAAGGTCGGATTGTTCAGAATGCTCAATGTTGTCGAGGTGCTTGAGACAGTTGCAAACGATGGAGCAACGTTCACTCCTTGTTGAGCACCTCCACTCATAAGTCTCAATGCGCCGTGATAAGGTGGACGAACACTTCTGGCTGGACCAAGTGTTGATGAGGTTTGAGGATGATTGGCTTGAAATCCCCCTTGAGTTCTTTGGTTCGGGTGCGTGCATATGTTTTTTGTGTGGAAAAATGTATGACACTGCTTGCACCACTTTGAATTGGCGCATGCCAATCATACATCCAGTCTATCGCCTTGGTGTGTTTGCACCCAAATTTTATCCTTCATATCGCCCTTGCCGCTGGATCAAAACAGAGGTTCGACAACTTCGGTTCGGTATCATCGGTTTCATGAAGATGCCCCTTTATAATTTTACCAATCGTTTTCTGCACGTGGACGTGGATGAAGGCCATCTTGTCCAGTGACATGACCACAACCACCACCCAAAATGTATCCCCATCTACCGTCTTTCTCTAGTCGCAGACTTCCACTCTTGTCATCCAAGGCCCGAATTTCGTCTGAAAGATAACTCATGCCAGGTCGATGAAGTTCGTTCACTTCTCTAACATCCAAGCGGGGATCTCATGCGTCCTTGGGATGTAGAAGGCCACATTACTAGGGGCCTTCCACCTTTATCCTTCCTCGCTTTGAATTCTTCACTTAAGAGCTCGTCCCTTATCCACCTATCCTAGTATGCACGAATGACGTTTTCGTAGACCTTTTACGGTAGGAAGCGAGCGCCATCTTGAAAGATCATTACGACTGTTTTCTCCTTAAGCCATTTGACTTTAATTTCATCCACGGTGTTATTCAACATGATATTGACTTCTCTTGCTTTGACTTCCATGAATCTTGGATCAATGTCAATTGGTATGATGCCTTCCTCATAGCAGGCCCTTACCATCTCTGTAACCCGTTTTTGTTCTAAACAATAATCGTTAGGAACTTTAGACTCTTGCATCCGCTTACCCACCCCTCGGAGGAGTGGACTCCAGCTCCATACTGATAAGGTGAGCACCACCTTCCAAATACAACGCCCTCCTTCTTCCAAATGTGAAAAAAAACACCGTGTACGTTACCAACGTAGAGCTACTGTGGCAGAGTAAGGTTGATGGACGAAACTGATATACAACTTTGAGGGGACACAAACGGAAAAAACTAGCTGATAATATCACCAGCTATGGCTGCTGCCATAGTCCCTTGACGACGTAAGAGCATCTTGGTATCACCTACGACAACACCTCTGCGTCGGAAACATCGCCGCCAGCCAGGCCTGCCTTGGGGCAAGCGTTGCTAGGGCCGAGCGCTACCAAGCCAACCGTAGTGCCCGATCGCGGCCGCGTCCCCCAATGATGATTGTGGTTGAGATTTTCCACTGTCCAACAATTCTGTCTTGACGCCGAAATGTGAAAGAGCGCCGTTCTGATTCCACATGCCCGCCTCTACGGGCACTCATCTGGGAAACAGCTTGGAAATGGGCGGTCCGGAGATGGGGCGTGGGAGTGTGGACCCAATGGACCCAATGACATAGTTGGAGCATCAATAGGAGCGGCGATGAGTTCTCTTTCCATTTTGGACCTGCAGGGGCCATCCCAAAAATCTCATACATTTCAATCCTTCGTCTCTGAAAAGCCCGTAAGCATGTGGGATCTTGAAAATTGGGAAAGAGTGCCCTAATTTGGTCCCATTTTTCGCGGAAATTCCCCACGCTGAAAGACTACGTTCAAACCCCTCAGCCCTCGGATCCGATTATAGCAATGGCAACGAAGCCCAACGGCGAAAAGGGACAAACGAGGCGGGCAGATACGCCGCTGCGTAATTGCGTGCTTTTCTGGTCGGCAACTCGGCAGATATTATGTTTATGTTATCCAGCACGGCGTGACAGTGACCTCCATCGTAACTTGCTTTGCGGCAGCTGTTGCCGGGCCTCTGCGTCAGTGACAGATGGACACGCACAGTTGGGGGACCCGTCAACCGGCTGACCCCACCGATCTAACTCTTACGGAACCAGCCCTTGAGTAGAGGCCAACCGTCATGGTAACCGAGCCCAACCCTGCTGCCACTCGCCCTTACCGTGAAAGATGTATGTATGAGCCCATGGCTCCTGGGGTGGCAAACAGGTACGAAGAACGGTAACCTTGGAAGAACCTGGTCTTAAAACTGGTCTTGGAACTGGTCTTGAAACTGGTCTTGGAACTGGTCTTGAAACTGGTCTGGTCTTGATTGAGTAGGGGGGTTCGGAGAGCCTTGCAGGCCCGGAGTTCAGCTGAGAGGAGCGCCGGTGAGGGCAAACGACGCGCCGAGCCAACCCCCTGGCCGCCGTTGCCGTTCCCAGTAGAGGCGAGAGAGCGACACTGCGTGTACCACCTCCACTACTACGGGTAGCTGTTTCCGTGCGCTCACCCTTCGGATCTCGGCTGCCGGGCAGGTTCCTGCCCTGCCAGCGCCGCTGACTCTCTGCCCCTGTTACTGGTGGCCCACCTGTTTGCCCGCCTGCCTGGGCGCGGGCCGTACCGGCAGCTTAGGAAATTCCCGACGGCGTTAACGATGGTGGCGGCCGGCTCGCTGGTCCCGTCGCTGCGGGGTAGGCGTGCAGAGTTTTCTCTAACCCGCGCGAGAGGGAAGGGGGGAGTGACCACGATCGAGACCAAGATCGGAGACGCTGGCGGGCAAACCTCATCCTCTTGTCCAACCCACGCAGACAAACGCAAAGAATTCGTCCGGAAGCGGACGCGGAGAATGGAAGACGAAGGTTGTTTTGGGTGACTAGACACTCTTCAAGGAGGGGCGGGTGATTGAGTTCGCTGAGGAAACAGAGTCGTGTTGCACGGGGCCGATGAGTTTGGAGTGGGTCAGAGGGAAGTAGCTACCACTAGGACAGCGTATTGTATTGTGCATCATACGTGACAAGGCTGTGCGCAAGTGCGTGCTCGGTGTGCAGGGGCGTGTGTATAGTGTTCGCGCATCTTTCTCCGGATGGCCTCGTCGTGCAAGGAGCTGATGTGCGCATGTTGAACGGCCGGAGACCTGTGTGAGGACAGACCTAAGTGTGGACGCTGAAGCTGGTAAAGGGCGGGCTGCGCTATCCTGGGTGGTGGGGCCTGTCGGTCATTCGGTAGTGTGTTTCGAGGAGGAACCATATCGCGCAGCGATTGGATGGGCGGAATATCAGGAGGTGGAGGTGTTTGCGGTACTTTTGTCTCCTACAACGTCCAGGTTGCTGTCCTATTTTGCTTTCGGCAGTGTGCGCGCTGTCTTCTCTGCCGTGGCGGGGTAATTACGAGCATAGCGTAGGGTGCCGACAGCTGGCAAGCGGTGAACTGTGGTAATGGTGTTGTTGCTGTCACTTGCTTGTAGCAGTTTCGGGAGTTGAAGCTAATCGATCGTGGAGGAGGGAAAAGCGCGGGGGGAGGGGGGAGAACGCGGTGGCCGTATAGTGGTAAGGTAGTTCACAAAGGACTCGTGTCCACAAGGACTTGTAAGTGCGCGGCACGGCGCGGCACCGTGCGGCGGTAGGATCGTGCGAGGAGGTGATTATGATGAGCCGCTTCTGGTGTTCTTATGAATTCCGCTTCAATCCTCTCTTGAAGACGTGACAAAGGATTGCGCCGTGTTCGAGCTGGAGGAGGGCGGGCATCAGCATGTCTGCCATGGCCGATGATGTCTCGAGGTGCTCTCTTTTGTGTGAAGGAAGAGCGACGGCGGCTTCGCAAGTAATATTCCAACTATTGCTAGTCCATCCCACGCCTCGGGAAAAGGGCGACCCTCATTGTAGGGGGTATACCAGGTGCTCCCTTATGCAAGTTTTTGATCGAGCCACATTCTTCACCTGACGCTCTGCTTCCTTGTCCTCTTTTCCTTTCCTTTCCTTTCCTTGTGAGTCTTCCTGTGTCCCCATTTCGCAGTCTTTCCCGTCGCACTCGTTTTCCCATTCTCCTTTTACCTCATGTTCTTCCTTTCCGTCCTCTTTCTCCTCTCTTTTTCGCCTTTCCTTATCTACTACCCCCGCATCCCCTTCATTTCTCCTCGCTCTCTCTAATCTCCTGTTATCCAGTTGTCGTGTGTTCCTTCCATGACCTTCCTTCGCTCTGCCCTGCCTGTCACAGGTTCCCTTTTCCTTGCCCAAACAAGAGCCCTTTCCTGTCGTCTCCCGTTGTATCTCTCCTCGTACTCTTAGGTACATCCTTTCCTTTTCATGATGCTATTCCCCGCCCACACATATCCCCGCGTTCAAGTGGTGCTTTGCTTGTTTCTCGAAAAGTTATCTTCTTCTCGGTCTTCCGTCTTGCCTGTGTCGTTACTGCTGTAGCACGTTGTGGCCTGTGTGTCGGCTGTGTGTGTGTGCGTGCGTGCGTGTGCGTGTGTGTGGGTGTGGGTGTGCTTTGTTTTTTTTCTTTTGTTGTGTGCGTGTGGGTGTGCTGTCGTACGTGGGATGTGTTGTGTTCTGTCTGCGTTTATGAGCGTCACATGTGCTTTGGGGAGGTGTCAGTGTGCGTCTAGCTTTGGTGTGCAACTGTATGTGCGGCTCTGTGTATGTAGTCATGTGGGAAGGCGGAGCGTAGTTGTGAGGGAGGAGAAGAAAGGGCGGGCGGAGGGCATTCGAGTAAGGTAGGGAAAGGGAGAGGGAGCGGAGAGTAGTCGTGTAAGGAAGAAAAAACAAGAGCTGGAGGCGGGTGGAGTGTATTGATGTGAAGCCCCAGATGCTGCGCAGATCGAGCTAGAGGAAGGTGTAGTGCGCCTGAACCTGAATTTTTGAGGCTTTCCATCGGCAAAGGAAGAGTGTCTTTTCCCTGTTTGAATATAAATGGAAAAGTAAGAGGTTGGCTCAGTGAACTTTCTGCGGTCAACACGCCTGAGGGGATGTGTTTGTGACTATTGCCCCCGTTGAGGTTGGGAGCTAGCTGTTCTCTCGGAAAGCTGTCACCAGGGCGACGAGGCTCACATGTATGTGACGTGTTTCTTGTTTTCTGTTCATCAGGAAGGGGCGACTTTTCGTAAAGCGTTGGCGTTGAGCGGGCGGGTGATTGTTTTTGTTGTGGAGTGCTTGCCGTCAAGATCGAAGTGAAGTCGAGATGACATATGCGTGTGAAGGACATAGACTCTGTGACTCTGCTTAATTGGGAAAAGGAGGTGCCAGAGAGGGAAGAAAAAAAGCTGCCTGGGGAGGGTGCCTTGGACTGTGAACGAGGAAGATTGAAATTTGGAATGAAAGGCGTATTTACATACCGTTATTTTTGAAGCGTGAAGTGTGGAGTTTGAGGTGGTACTCTCTACATAGATGAGGCGGTAATCTGAGGTGGTGGTGGATACTTAATCGGGTTGTGTGTCGTCAATTGCCGGTCGTCAATTGCCGGTCATTCGTCCGTCTGGAAAAACGGGAGGAGTAAAGGGAGAGAGTAGCAACCTACTACCGGTAGGTGGTGATTAGAACGAGTGCACGAAGCAAGTGAGCCATTGCACACAGCAGGCAACGCTGTAATGTCTTCGGCGCGATAACTCGGCAGCCAGATGTCTTCACGAAGAAAGCGAGGAGGAGGCAAGTGCAAGTAGAGATCTTCACGAAGAAAGCGACAAGGAGGCAAGTGCAAGTTGAGAGCGTTTAACTGCGCCGAAGAGCGCGCGCGGATCGGTTGGCTCGCTCCGTCGCTGGTGATAATGATGATGAGGATGGTTGTTACGATGATCAGACGAGGGTCAGAGGACAACAAAGAGCAGAAGCGGGTTAAGGAACAAGGCGGAAAATGCTTGGCTGTTTGGTAAAACAGCTGGTAGGTGAGGTCCATTCATCAGTGTGACCGATCGAGAAGAACGGTAAGAAAGGCTGAAAAGAGTGAAAGAGAAGAGACCAGTAGCACCAGAATTCTGGTTACGACGAATAGAGACAGATGCACGCTTCGCGAATGGGGAATTAGAGACGCAAATGGGGGTTCTTCTCCATCCATCGGTTTTCTGAATTGCTCCTTGCTTGCAAAAGAGCAGCCGTCGCGCCGCTGTTGATTTGCCTCTTCACATTGTAGTCTCTTTCCTGACCACAGGCCTGTGTCGGGAGTGGTGTGTGCTACAGTACTACGACAATCGATCAATACGCGCCAGCATCGACCGCAATACCCGCTGTCTATGTAGCGGGGCGTTCTTCTTCCTTCGTTGCGCACAGCTTTTCGATCATCTTGGTTCGCACCAATTCGTTTCTTTTGGGCTCATCTACAATCGATCTGTCGTCGGTCATTTGACCGAGGCAGGCAAGAAATGCTCTTGAAGTTGCTCCGCACAGCCTTCCGACGTGCCATGGGGCTGAGCGGCAGCCGCCACCAGTTGCAAACGCAGGAGGAAGAGCATCATCATCATCAGCAGCTAGTCTGCTCGTCTCCGACTTCCTTGTCCGCCGCTGCCAACACTGCGTCACATGCCAGAGGTGCGAGATGCCTGCCAAAGCGAGGGAGACATCATGTCGTGCACTGGGATAACCTTCCTCAGGCAATTCGCATGCGGGTCATCTATCTTGCCGCATGTCCGTCCACCACCCCCACTCCCTCCTCGTCTTCTGGCGGCGGAAATGGGTCGTCGCCTACGTTCCAGAACGTCTGTCGGGAGGATTTGCGCTTTATCGTCGGACTTTCGACGGTCTCCCGGGGCTTCAACCAAGACGTGCGGGCCGTCCTTGATGCGGTCTGCGTGTCCCCGCTCGTCCTTCTTGGGCGCGACAAGGGACAGATGATTGATGAAGAGGAAGAGGAGGTGAGCGAGGGAGGTGGAAGCGATGCCCGCGGTGGAGGCGATAGCACCAGAAGCGCCATTTCGGTCCAAAGTCAACGGCGACGAGTTCAATTGACGAATCTGCTTTTCTGGACCGACGTGTGGATGTGTTACAGAGCTGCTGACCCGAATATCCCGAAGAGTACGTTCTGGCGTCGCTCGAAAAGTGGGATGCTCTCTGCCCAGCTTCCTCCTACCGTTCAGTACTCCGATCTCATGACCAATTTCCTCATCGTGCACTGCCTCAACCGACAGATGGCTCTTCTCAAGAAGGAGTTCACTGTGCCGTGGAAAAACGAGGACTTGTACAACACCGCCTCGGCTGCAGAGAGGATACGGACGGAGGTTTTGAATTACAATGGAGGGGTGGAAATGCTAGCGGACACGCTTGCCATATGGCCCGTGTGGTCTTTCGCCGGGTCTTCGTCCTCCTCCTCTTCCTCGTCGTACACCTCGTCGTCAGCCTCGGGAGTTGTCGGGTGCACTTGCGGTAATGGAAGGGTGGGCGGCGATGGTGGGCCTGCCGCGGCCGGCTCTCTCGTGTGTAGTAGATGTCTTGGGGCAGATGGAAGTCCAGGGAGGGCGGGAGGGCATTCTGGAGGGGAAGAAGGCCATAGCGGTCGTTCCCGAGGTATGTCCCCACGTGCCTCGGCAGGCTTTGGTCTTCCGAAGAGATCTGCGGGTGCTCTCGCTTACGGTCTGGGGTTTCCCGCGCACGGCGCGCAGCATCAGCGCAACTCGCATCATCTTGCGTCGTCGTCGTCGATGGTTATGTCTGGAAGGCTGTGCTGCTGTCTACCGGCCGCAGGTCATTGTTCGAGGGTGGATGTCTTGTCTCCCGGCCGCTCGTTCTCGGCTGGCAACTCCTACAGCAAGAGCGATCATAACTTGAGGAACGGCGGCGCTAACGCGCGAGGAAGCGCCTCAGGGGGAGCCTATCTCCCGGCAATCCCTGATGTGGCGCCCAAAGAGTTCCGCGCCGCCGTTCTCGGTGCGCCGGGCACCCCTTACGCCGGCGGCATCTTCTTCCTGAAGTGTAAGTTGCCCTCTAATTACCCTTTCAAGGCGCCCAGGTTTCGATTCTTGACGCCGTTTTATCATCCTCTGGTGAGCAGCAGAGGTGAAGTGCACGTGGACGACATGGGTGAGATGTGGACTCCCAGCTACGATCTCCGAACGTACCTGGTCAACCTTATGGCTCATCTGTACGATATGGACCCGTGTATCGTACGCAGGCGTTGCTTGCACCGCACGCCGCCTCGCAGGTGCAACCGACTCGTCGCGGAGGCGTTTTGTGAGAGACCGGAGACGTTCAAGGAGAACGTCAGGCAGCACACGAAGAAGCATGCCGTATGCAGGTTCAGAAACGCGGTGGAGTGGGAGCAGCACTTCGACAAGTTGCTCTATAGGGCGACGGCCGGCTATGCGCCGAAGCTGCAGATTTGCAGGTTTTTACAGCCAGGTCACTTGGCGATCGACGAGTGGACGTCAGCGGCCGCCGCCGCGGCGATCGCCTCATCATCGGCTTCCTCACAGGCGACAGCGACAGGAAGCGGGACTGCGGCAGGAGTCCGGGCGGGAGGGCTTGCCCTTCCGAGGCCACCGCTACCGCCCTGGATTGTCGCAGCGCAGGCTGCGGAGAATGCGGCCACTGCTCCCGCCGATACTAGCGCGGTCGGCGCTGCCGCCAGTGATGCCTCAAATAGCGCCGCCGCTGGAGAGCAGCAGCAGGTTGCCGAGGCTGGTGTCCCGGTGGGAACGGGAGGAGTCGTGTCGACGGCAGAAGGTGGGGATGCAGGAGGATCCAATCAAGAACGTGGCAATGGCAACGCCCAAACGCAGGCGACGACGGCAGTAGCGGCTGCGGCGGCCAGTCAGACGAGTGGAACAGCGGCTGAGTCGAAGATTCGAGTGAGAATCGCGCAGCGTATCGGTGGAGATTCCAGGGTGTACAAGGTCTCGAGGAAGTTCACGCTGGCACAAATCGAGAGGAAGTTGCGCAACAGAGTGAGGTATGGACACGTGATAAGAGATACGGATGCGTGGGTATTTGCAGGCACCAAAATGAACGCTGACTTGACGCTGCCGGAGGCTGGCGTCCAAGATGGTGACCTTGTTCTCAGACTGGCGTGGCACTGAACGCAGAATTTCTGGCACGTAAGCTCACACATACACACAGAGAGAGAGAGAGAGAGAGAGAGAGAGAGAGAGAGAGAGAGAGAGAGAGAGAGAGAGATGTGGCCAATACGCTGAGGCGCGCTTACGAGGCGAACGGTAAGCGTTTCTCGCTGGGTGGTCGGTTTTGTGCATCCACGCTTCTGTATGCGTGCGGATGCATATGGGGGATGGCTGCTGGACGTAATATGAAGAGGGGCTGGTGAAGGCGGAGTCTCGAACCTTAGTGCGCGTGTTTGCGGTGGTGGCCATTTTCTCCAATGAAAGGATACTAAAGGTAAAGAGTGCGCAGGCGCGATACTGACCATATTACGTAGGAGAGTACGATCGATCTTATCAATCAATCGGTTAATCAATCAATCAATCATTCCATCCATTCGTTAATCAGTCTAGTAATCAATCGAACCGTGACTATCCATATTCGACGATGCCTACACCTTCGACCACGGCGGCAGGCACTGAGGTCTGGAGGCAGGCTGGCCGTAAGTGTTTTGCTGCTTTTGACCCCGTTCTCGTTGCGGGTGTTGGAGAGAGCAATAAATGCGAAGGGGTTCTTTTCCCCACGTGCGTTCCTGTGTGGTTCCCCCCCCCCCCCCCCCCCCCCCTTCCGAGTACGTTGTCATGCGGGTGCCGGACATCATCCAAGGTGTCACCATTATGCTTCGCTTTTTCCTCCCGAAGCGGTCTGCGGCACACACACGACCGGTTCGCACTTAACTGTTCCTCCATGTAGTGCGCGCGTCGGAGGCGAGTGCAGCAATAGGTGGGTAGCTAGGTAGGTAGGTAGGTAGGTAGGTAATCGACTTTACTTCTCTGACAGGTCATCATCCATCTTCCTTGTGTCATCTCATCTGCTGGCGATTATTGCTGAATATTACTCCTTCAGTTTGTTGATGCCGTATAAGCAACTGAAGATGCAATATATTTCAGGCAGCGTAGATATGCAATTGGTATTTTCTGTGATTCTGTTTATCTTGACTTTTTTTTTCTCGGCGATCAGTCGTATTTTTTTTCTTCTGACTTTGTCGTTTTCTGGGAAACGAACCGCATTCTATCTCCGTCGCGCCCTACGGCACATGGTCGTCTCTTCGTCTTCGCGTTCTTGAAGTTGTTCTTCCGTTCGTACGACCCCAGCCTTCGCCGCAAGGGGTATGGTTCTGTTTGTCAGACGTTGTGTGAGAGACATGAAGCTCACGTGGTCGGACATAAGGGGGCGAGCGAAGTGTCTGCTTACCGGCATGGATGGCTGTGAGGTTTGATAGGGATCTGACAGTGTTTCGCACGTTGAGTTTACTATCGCGTAGTAGCCGTTTGGGTGCCTGCCCGTCTGCCGTTAGCGCTATAAGAGGGGTTGTTGATGACGGACGCGCTGATTTATTCACTGTAACTCATCGGTTCTGACGCGGGCGGTTTGATGCGGTTTTTAGCTTGTTCTTCGTCCGTACGACGAGGAGGCGCGAGGACGGTTAGGGTATAACAAAACTCACTTCTAGATGGTAGTTTGGGTGCGCGTGGGATGGGATCCCTCTTGCGGGTCTGGGGATGGTCTTACGTTGGTGTGAAACTGCGCGGGGGCCATCAATCCGTCTTCGACTGCGACGTCGACTGTGGTGTGATTAATTACCGTATGATTACTTGGTTCATTGAGTGAGAGGTGATCGATTGATTGACTGATTGATTGACTGATTGATTGGTTGGTTGATTGATTGATTGATTGATTGATTGATTGAACGAGATTGGGTTTGGTGCTGGTATCGTGCCGTAGAGGGGTGTATCTCGGTGTGCCGGTGGTGGCAACAAGCTGACCTTCTCTTGTTCGAGAAGAAGCCGAAGAAGCAGCGAGGAGGAGTAAGGAGCTTCATCTCGCTTGTTGTTGTGATTGCTACCGTCCCGACCTTATGTTCGCGGATGGCTTACTCTAAATGGAAAGTCGGGCGAGCGCCGGGCGATCAGTATATATAGAGAAACTGGGAGAGCGATGTGTGACGAGATCAGACGAGCAGTCGGGAGAGAGGAAGCGATAGTGGGGGATGGATGAAGGCGAGGGAGAGAAAGTGGGGGGATTAAAGGAGAGAAAGTGGGGGGATTAAAGGGGAGTGGTTGGAAGGAGGGAAGCAGGAAAGACGACCAGACGGATGTTTGTGTTGTCGGCCGCATGGCACTTAGTGACTTCTCGTCTGGCTTTCGCACTTGCTAGCGCGAATCGCCCGTAATAGTGGGGACCATAGACCGTACAGCTAGATTGGAATACAGATAGACGTACCGAGAGAGGGTATGTAGATGTCGTACATACACAGAGGCTATTGCTCGATCCATGCCGTGGGGATTGCGGGGAGGCAAGTTGCAAATATGGCATGGACGCGATTATTGAACGCTGAGGTGGGGGTGCGACCAGATACAGCTGATGTTGATTATACGTATGTGCGATGGAGAGCAACTGTACAAACCGTCGATCGAGGATCTACTGATGTTTTCCGGTTGAGTGAAAGTGCAGGTATGCTAGTAATAAAGGGAAGGTGTCGTCAAGGCGCAGAGGGGTTGCGGCGTATGATGCGCGTTGTGGTATTGGGAGGGGAGAGTGGGTGGTAATGGAGTGCTGGAGAAGCTGAGGTTGGTGGGGGGGATGGGGGGAGGGGAGAAGGATGTGCAAGGAGAAGTAAGGGGGTCGTAGGTCAAGACAGTGACGATAAGCAAGGATGTGGAAGGACAAGGGGGGGGTCATAGGTCGAGACAGTGACGGTAAGGACGGCGAAGCAGAGGAGGGTGGAGGAGGATCATTGGAATCCATGCTATTGACAGTAGAAGCCATGCCTCTGACGATAGAAGCGGTTTGACCGAATTATTATGTGCTGAAGACTGAGTTCAACACTGCTATATACCGTGTGGACAAAATTGTCAGGGTGGGAGTCTTTTTATCGGCAGAGGGATTTGCCCCGTAGAGAGGCTGTGGTTATAAGAGTGGGGAAAGAGGAAGAAGAGAGAGGGCAGCAAGATTGAGCGAGCGAGAGACTGTGTTATTGTTTGCTTTTTGCTATTTTTCTTATTGTAGGAAAGCCTCTTATGGGTTGCGGGGAAGGCGACCGAAGGACGTGAAAACAATTGACGACAACAGGTTTTTGTCTGCGAATGAGCGCTCAGTGGATGTGTGGTAGGCTTGAAGGCGAGAGGATGTTCATGATGATGATGATGATGATGATGACGCCGATGATGATTTTCGATAGGTTATGAGTCTCTGCCCTTTCCCGACAGGCTGCCTTCTCGTTTGACGCTTTTACGCAGTTGAGCATCCAATCAAATACGGTAGCTGATGTGATTGAGGGTGATGGATAGATAAGAAATCCGCAAAGACGGGGCTTGGTGTGGTTTAGGTTATTATCATTCTTTTCGCTCGCCCTTGATTCAGAAATGCCCTCTAGTAATTTGTAAATTAGACACTAGTATTGTATGTCGATTTATATGCATCTACTCTCCCAATTCGGGTGGAGAGCGGCGGAGTTCGTTCTTTCTCTCGGTTTCCCCTGTGAACGGCCCTTGTTTTCTCTCTGTCTTTCTTGTCTCCCCATGTGATCTCGGCTTGTTTTTTTTTTTTGTTTTTTTGTGCGTCTTTCCCCTCTATTGCACTGACACCCATAATGTGTTTGCCCTCTCCCAGTTCCCCTTTTCATCGTCATTCGTGCTCCTTCGCCTTCAATTTCATCTCCTCTTCCTCTTCCTCTTCCTCTTCCTCTTCCTCCTCAAGATTGCCTCCCTGTTGCTGCTCCTCTCTGTGCTCCGCTGTGTCCTCTCCCCCTGGTTCCCTCTTCGTCTGTTCGCTTTCCGTTTTCCATCTTGTTTTCTGTGTCTTTTCCCCACGCCCTCGTCGCTCGACAGGTCTCTTTTCCGTTTCTTTCTGTTGCTTTCCTTTTTCCATCTTGTTTTCTGTGTCTTTTCCCCACACCCTCGTCGCTCGACAGGTCTCTTTTCCGTTTCTTTCCGTTTTTGTCTTGTTTTCTGTGGAAGTATGTGGCAGCCCATTTTTCTTGCCGCCTCCTGTGGTTGAACCCATGGCCCCCCTATGAGGGTTCGATTGCTTTGGTTTTCGTCTCCTTCCTTATGTCATCCCTGTCTCGTTGGCGTGGTTTCTCGTTTTTGTTCTTTGTGAGAGGCATTTCTTCACGACATTTTCCATTTCAATAATTGCTTCCGCGAGTGGTTATACTCACATACGGCTGGGCCTGGCTACCGGGCAAACATCTGTACGCTTGCCTCTGCCTGTCCTAAGTCGCCTTCCTCCCGCCCTTGTTCATATCAAATATCCTATTCTTCGGACGGAAGCCAACCAACAACGCGAGTATTTGGCGGATTTGTCCTCGAACGTGTCATTGAGGATACGCACGCCTCTCATTTGGCAGATGGCAGGCAGGCAAAATACCTATCTTCTGATTGTAGATGGCCATGAGCTGCAGCCGGCCCGAATGACAGAAGGGCAGAAGGATCGGCGTGTGGCTCTAAAGGACCAAGGGGGAGGCGGTCGAAGAGGTTTATTTCCCCCCCTGCGAACTGGCTGATGGGTTGTGGTTATAAGCCTGCAAGCATCAGACGAGTGGAAAGAAAGAAAGAAAGGGGGTTGGTTTTGTGGGGGGACGTGAGTGAAATGTAGTCGTCGGAAGTCTGTTAGACGACCGCAGCAATTATGGTATTTGCTGCCTGAAACTATATACCCTATAATAATCACCTTATCATTGTGTTTCGAAAAAAATGAAAGCGGGTGAAAGGCGGGGGCCGTGGGGTTTGGGGATGAGTGGGAGGGGTCAATTGGGGGAGATGAGTGGGAGGGATCGTCCATCCACTTGATGAAGAAAAGCAAACGAAGGTGCATCATGCGAACAGCGAATAGCGGACGATGAAGCCTGGCCCTGGCTGGCTGGCTGGCCGATCGTGGTAGTAGTAATCACGAATCTTGACGAAAGAGGATGCGGCCAATTGACCTCTTTGGACAAGGCAGATGGTCCTGGCTGGAATCGAAGGAGAGATGATGGTGAAGCCTGGCCGATCATACAATCTTGACGAAAGAGGAGGCGGCCAATTGACGTCTTTGGACAAGGCAGATGGTCATGGCTGGAATCGAAGGAGAGATGATGGTGAAGCCTGGCCGATCATACAATCCCGAAGCTCGAGAACAGGAGAGTGTGGTGGTGGAGGACCCTTTGTCAAGGTCGATGAGATGACACAATGCGCGTTCGCTCGCAGTTGTGCTCTCGAACAGAGGAGGGTGATGGTCATGGATGGATGGATGATTGGATGTAAGGTGAGTGACGAGGAAGTTGGTTCATTCATTTCTATCCCTTCGAAGTTAAAGGCAAAAAACACCGGAGGAGTGTCCGGTCATTCTCGTACCGGTTTAGTAATGGTGGGTGGTGGTAATTTGGTGCCGATTCTGCCGGAGGAGTGTCTGGTTATTCTCGTACCGGAGGAGTGTCTGGTCATTCTCGTTCGCGGTTCTGCTTGAAGTGTACATGTCATGTATGTCTGCTATTATTGCCGCTTCTGCCGAACTTTTCGTTGCCCGTTGAAGCTGTTTCTTCTCTTCTTCTTCGTGAAGAACGCTCCCTTCTTGCTTGGATCTATGCCATCCAGTTAAGTATCTGCCCGTTAGCGACAGACAGGTGCGTCGATGTTGTTTTTTTTCCGGCTGTGTTTGTGGGGGACCCCCTTGGTTCCATAATGCCCGTTCCCTCGCCTCTCTTTCCATCCCTCTTTGCCTGGATGTGAGTGAGTGCGTACATCCGAATGCATGTGTGCTTTTGCCTTTGCGTGTGTGTGCGTGTGTTCTTGGTTTGTGTGTGTGTGTGTCTGGGGTGGGGGGGGCGGTGGGGGGGCGGGGGAAGAGAAGAGGGAGAAGGTAGAGGATAAGCAGACAAGTCTCTGGGCATGGGTGGAGGGGGRGGGGGGGGGGTTGTCTTGCAAATGACAAGTTGTGCAAGTGAAAATATTGGCACATTCCTAAGTCTGAGAATTTGTTTGGGTCTCACATCTGTGAACCTGTTGGATGAGGTGGACGTAAATATGATACGCTTGCTGAACACATCACAGGGTGATAGGAAGACTCTTCTCTACCCACATCTCTGTCTATTAACTCAATAGGCATCTGCTTAAGATGATGCTTTTTGGATGCGGGGTTATCGCATATCATCAACCTCGGGTAGTGCCGCAGTGGTAGAGCTCCTTGGGACAATTCAATTAGATGTGTAGGGGGGGAGCTTAAGACTGCAAATACTTTTAACATACGAGGAGAGAAGAAGAGGGCACAGACACAGCAGTCGGTGGTTGGCAGTGGTGGTGGTAATGCGGGGCGTGCGGGAGGTTCGATCCATGTTGCATAACTGACGACAACTGATGCAGGGAAAACCTATTATGGGTATATATTGTGGTTGAGGGAGCAGTCGTGGTATAGGTAATCTAAGGAGGGATGGTGGTCGGAGAGGAAAGAGACACGTTTGGCTTCTCTGAGACCTTGCGCTGTTAATATAAATATGTAAATTGAGTGTGTGGTGGTAGTGATTGTTATTAGAGAGTAGTAGGCAAAACTCAGAAAGTGTGACGGAGACGGGTGTAGGAAGTTATGGGGGGAGGGAGGCGAGGGGCAGAGGGGAAGAATGGAACGCAGAAAGACTGGAGAGATCAGGGTTAGGACAGGGAGGGGATGATTGAACATCATATGGTCGAATGGGCTGGAGGGAAGGAGTGACGTGTCTTCCGTCGTTGAAGTCGCGATTTCGCGTCTGACTAGTAGGGTCTTCAATGCTTTAGCCAATTAATTCATCTGTCACATCTTTCAGAATAACACGTCTCAACTCCTACGACTATAGAGCTATCTATGCTTCTGTTTGTTTTATAGGTAGAAAGATCTGGCTATGGCTACCCTCTGTACGGTGGGGATATGTCTATATGGGTAGCGCTGTCTGGAGTTGGTTATGACTTCAGTCTGCACAATGGGTGAGAGAAATGTGTGTGAAGGGTGGGGTAGAGAAACTGCCTTGTCACCTCAGTGGCATTTTACTTATTCTACTGCTTGGGACTTTGGTTGGCAAGACAGCTTTTGTTGTTCGTTAAGACAGTCCGTCTTCTTCCTTTGCTTCGGTTTGTCACGTGTGGCTAATAGTGAATTATATTATGTTGAACAATACAGGGCATGTGGAGCGCACGTGGTGCATGAAGTTTGCATGGATGGTTGCTGCTAGTGTAAATAATTGTGGGCTATGCACTATGCAAGAGATTGCTGTCATCATGCATGCAGAAAATGCCGTGTGTAATTTCGGCGATAGCGTTGATGTGTGGACGTTACCGTTGATGCGCTGCTTTGTCTGATGTTTTAAAAGGTGACATGATGAATTCGCTTCGCGACACTCTTGTGCGCTGAGCGACTGGTGGATTACGCACTAGTACTAGTCGATTGTACTGACGGAATGTGGGTCCAGACGCCACAGCTTATAACCTGAGCAGGTCTGCTTTGTCTGATGTTCTAAAAGGTGACATGATGAATTCGCTTTGCGACACTCTTGTGCTCTGAGTGATTGCTGGAGTACGCACTAGTGCTAGTCGATTGTACTGACGGAATGTGGGTGCAGAAGCCACAGCTTATAACCTGAGCGGTCTGCTACAACAGCAGAAGTTCCCTTGTCATGCAAAGTGTAGGCGAAGGGTTCGTAACTCCTTTCCATGTGTGACCTGTCCATTGCGCTGTGTGCAAATGTATATCCGAGAACTACCGGTAGTATCGCTTAGATGCAGAACTGATATCGCTTGGGTTGGGTTATCATGTTTGCCAGCTTTGTATGTATTTGAGGAAAATGGTTATGAGGGCTGAGTTGTATCGAAAACGTAAACCGCCATCGAACCATAGTGTGGGCACGTTGTGCCTTAGGAATGACTGTGAGGATAAAGACTTGTGGTGGTCGAGTCTGTGCCGTTGATTGCTGGCTAGCAGAACTTGGCGGACAATGGACGAGCAGGTGGGGTCTCTGTGGTGACATGTGATGGGTGACTGTCGAGTGGAGGGTTTGCCGGCATGGTCGCGAGTGTTGTGATATGATGTAATGATTCACCCCCTTTGCCTGTTGAACCCACAACTACCTTTGAGCCTCTTTTTTGCCGAGGCACATTCCCCTTGCACCAAGCTTTGTCAAAACGCCAGCGCGACGTTTTTGTTCTAAGTTTTGTCTGGCGCCGGCAGGCGTTGTGGCCCGTTTGCTGCCCTGAGCCTCCGATTGTTTTTGGAGAGGCTTAACCGTGGTTTGTAATTTGGCTGCGGCCATGTACTGGTGGTTTACCGATGTTGTGACCTGGCTGTGAATGTTCAGCACAGCTTGTGCGCCTAACAGCCATGATGCTTGACAGCAGTATGGTGTGCCTTCCCAGTCAACAGGGGTCTATTGGGCGATTGGCCCCGCCCTTCTTCCCTTTTTTTTTTAAAGGGAAAAAAGACCATTTGTCGATTTATGCTTCTCATCCTTGTGCAGTGGCCATGCTATTCTTCTTTGTATCGTTTCAAGTTTCGTTGGATGTCCTGAAGGACTGGGGTTGGCCCCTGCCGGACGTTGCTAGGACACGCTTTCGCTCCAGGACAAGGTTTTGGCCCTTTGATTGCCGCCGTCCTCCTACCCACTTGGATGCTTTTTTCTTGTTCATTCGTCACCATTTGGTGACACTTTTTCATCACCGGACTTAAACAGATCATCTTCTCCTTCCTTTATTATTTCTTATGCACGCCCATGATTTGATGGGTCTGTGTTGGCTGATGGGTCGAATACGGGGTTCGCATGCTGTGTGTGTGTGTGTGTGTGTGTGTGTGTGTGTGTGTGTGTGTGTGTGTTGGCTAATGGGTCTGTGTGCGAGGAGGGGTTAACATTTGTGTGCTGATACAAGTTTGTCTGAAGATTTTCACACTTGTAGGTCGCTGTCAAAGGTACCGACTTCAGCGTGGGCTGTGAAAGGGCAATGCCCCATGTGTGTGTCTGAATTCCCTGATGAGTGCATGGTCGATTGACGTTGTTGAAGTGTTCATCGTTGCTGTTGGTTGCTTGTGGCTGTTCTTGGCCTGTTGCTGCCGTTTGCTTGTGGCTGTGTGATGATCTATCAGCCAAGCCTCAAAGAGGGTCTGCTCAGTGTCAGTGTGGGGTATGTGATTAGAAATATGTGTGTGCGCTGCTCGATAATCAGCAGAGGCAGGGGTACATAAAGGAAAGGTGATGGTATGGTGATTGCGATGGTGGGTGGTGAGCTTGAGTGACTGGTTGTGCTGAACTATAGTTTTGCTGTAGGGACTTGTTCTAACCTTTACTTATCTCAATGATTCGCCATGGGATGCGTTTCGGAGGAATTCTACAAGTCCGTTGATGAATCCATCATTTATCGTTGGATTGCGCACAACATCGTCACCCGGACGGTGCGCTACCGACTTCCTGAGCACAATGCGCCCTCATTATGGCTCTACCCGACTGAAAAGATAGTTTGCAACTTTGTATACATTCACTACCAGGGGTGCGTTATGTTGCATTTGTTATTTGTTGACGAGCCGCCAACAAGACAAAGGTTATGTTTGGGGAAAACGCTAACAGGTAATTCCTGTGGTTTGTTGCATTGGCCTGATGGTGTATATTTGTTGACGTATGGTGTTGTTGGCGGCTTGTCACGACTGTCACCGACTTGTCGAGGATGGGCAACCCCCCCCCAACCACCTGCCCAGGCGGATGGGTGCCTTAGCAGTCTTTTCTGGTGGTAAATGTGCCCCTTCTGTTTGGCTGTGAGATCTTTCGTTAGGCTGGGCTGGAATTTCGCAGCATGTGGGCCAGGGCAGTCTCTACGGTGCACCGAGCTTTCATCGCTATCTCTGAGCCCGTCTTTGCGGAGGCGGAAGAGATCTGTGCACCCAGCTTTGCTGAAGTGCCACTGCGGCGTCTTTCACGTCTTCTTTTGGCTGGTGCCGCCAGCCGTTGTGGTCTGGTAGCACAGTTCATTCGAAGAAATTGGAATGTTACATTTTCGGTTGTCGTTGTTGCCTGGGAAACGTAGTGTGGGGGTTTACGCGGTGGTTGGGAGTTCTGGCCTGGCAGGAAGGTCTTGTGATGTCAGGAGGCCTGACTTGTGGAGTGTTTGTGGACGGGCATAGACAGCTTTTTTTGTGTCTGAGATTCCCTAGGCCTAGTTTTTCTGGCTCCTGGTGGGGTTGGAACAGGAATGGTGGCATGGTCGGTGGAGTTCTTGCTGTGATGTTGTCCCCACTGTCTCTTGCATGCTCGCTGGTCTGCCGGTGGTTGCTGGTGGCGGAGCTTGCATGTTAGCTTGTCGTGATAGGACTGTCAGACATTCGGCTTTTGGGGGGATTTTTTTTTTGTCCTTTTTTTTGGTGATATTTGTGGGGGATTTTTTTTTGGTGAGAACAGTGAAGAACAGTGGATTGTCTTTTGACCATTGTTGTTCAGTGCTGGATGGTGGTTCTTCCTGTCCACCCCCCGGTTTTCGAGTGTCCTGCCGTCGGTCCCCCGAAAAATAACACGTGCGTTGTAATGAAAACAATGCATAGACTGCTTTCTATTAGAATAGGACACGTGCATTCTATTCGAGCAGCCCTGATTTTGAAATACATTGCGTATGCGTTCTATTCGGATGTCAATTTTTTTTCCAAGACTCGAATACCATCCCATGCATATGCGCTATGTTTGGGGGAAGATTGCGCCGTTCAGCATACATTTTGGTGGTTTTTTGAAAACTCGAATACCATACCATGCATATGCGCTATGTTTGGGGGAAGATGGCCGTGCGCGCCGTTCAGCATACGTTTTGGTGGTTTTTTGAAAACTCGAATACTATACCATGCATATGCGATATGTTTGGGGGAAGATGGCAGTGCGCNATACGTTTTGGTGGTTTTTTGAAAACTCGAATACTATACCATGCATATGCGATATGTTTGGGGGAAGATGGCAGTGCGCGCCGTTCAGCATACGTATCGGTGGAACCGTTTTTGGCAGATAAAAGGTGTGGGCACCCGGAGCGCAACCACGGCCCTGCAGCGCTCAGCTTGTGTTTTGGTGAAACAGCTGTTTTGCTGCCGTGGATTGTCTACGCGGGTTGTCTGTTTGGTCTCGATGGTGCGGCCAGCCTCGAGTTCTCGTTTCTTGTTGCTTGTAGTGTTTTTGAGGGGATGGTGTTATTGATATATAGAGCGTTCATGTGAAAAACAAACACAACAAATGCCACACACACAACACACCACGGTTGTAGCACATGATACACAACACACCACAGACGCCAGACGAGCAGCAGGTGCACCACTGAGGTGGAAGGTGGACTCCCACATGAAACACCTACAGTGCAATGTACTGAAAGGTGATCGCTGCCAGGGCGAGGTGTTGCAGAGCAGGATCTTGCGACAGCTAACCGTCTTTGTTTTGGATCAAGGCCCATCATTGCCTGCCCATAGAGAGGGAATATTGGATCTGGATATAGCCAAGGAACTTGCTCAATGTGGGACTGTGATGCGCCACATGAGATTCGGCTAGCATGTAATAGGCGTGCTTCGCGGTTGAGGACTATGAAGGTATATAGCCATGCAGGTTTGGTTTTCTTACCTATTATGACCGTTGAAGTTGTACTCGTGCATGATACCCTGACATGGCATATGTCCTATTTGTCGTAGACATGGGCTGGTATGAGGGGTGAGCGTGCCTCTGTGTTCTTAGCATGTAGCCTGTGACATCTGTCTACACTGCCATTGGATGCAGAAATTGCAGCTGGGAGAATTGGATGCGAGTGATTCCCCACTGTCCACACCTGAAGTGGTCCAGTCCGATCTGTAGGGATGGCCGCTTACCGTAGGCAGCGGCGGCGGCTCAACTCAAATCTCCCTGCGACCTAAGCACTGACTGGCCGCTTGTGCCATTCTATAGTAGTCTGCTCGGGCAGTGAGAGTATTGAGAACCAGGTGAAGATTGGCTTTCCTCTATTCTACTCCTCGTCCTTCCGCTTCCCTGCTCTTCCCCTTCTCTGCTTCCTCTAATACTCACCTCCTACCCGTTTCCCTCCTCCCTCTCCTTGTGCACTACAACTAAAGCACCATGAAAGCACCGGTACACCACCCGTCGGCCAGCGGGTGTCAGCACGAAACCCGCACCAGTTTTGAGGCCGCTGATTTGTTTTCTCAACAGCGCCCCATGCTGTGCAGCCCCTCCGAGTTTTGCTTGTGGCGACAAAAACTTTCTGCAAGGCTGGGGCCGTGTACTTGCGGTTTAAACCACCAACACCTTCCTGGTCTCACGGACCGGGTTCTTAGGGGGGGTGGTGACCGGCAGGTGCAGGTGGGCGTGGTCCGGGGATTTTTTAGCTCCGACTTCGGCGATTTTTTGCGGTCTGAAGAATTGAAGAA